ACTGCTGTCAAATAAATAAATAAAATCTTTAAAAAAAAAAAAAAGTATTATATCAATGTTAAGTTTACTGAAGATGATGCCTATATCATAACTGTATAGAAGAATCATAACTTGATTCTGGGAAAATATCAATGAAGTACTTGAGAAGTAAATTATAGTGTATGAAACTTATTCCAATAGTTAAGGAGAATGCATGAAACTAATGTAATACTGTGTGTCAACTGTACTTCAGCTTAAAAAATTAGTTAAGGGGGAGAGTGGGTGGCTCAGTCATTAAGCGTCTGCCTTCACCTCAGGTCATGATCCCAGGGTTCTGGGATAAAGCCCCGCATCGGGCTCCCTGCTCAGCGGGGAGTCTGCTTCTCCCTCTCCCTCTGCTGCTCCCCCCTGCTCGTGCTCTCTCTCTCTCTCAAAATAAATAAATAAATAATCTTTACAAAAAAGTTTTTTAAAAATTTAGTTAAGGAGAAAAATATATACATTAGATAGAACACAAATGATAAAACAAATCAAGCAAAAATGTTGACCATAGGTCAATCTGGGTATGGATGTTCTCTGTCTATTCCTGCAACTTTTTAATAATTTTTTCCCTTTTAAAAAAATGTTTTATTTTTTACTGAAGTATAGACATACAACAACTTTTCTATAAATTTGAATTCTTTTTTAAGTTTTAAGAAATTACCCATTCTAGGCAAAGGACTTGAATAAAAATTTCTCCAAAGATGATACACCGATGGCCAACAAGCATATGAACACACTCAACATCACTAATCATCAGAGAGATATGCAAATTAAAACCACAATGAGCTATCACCTGTCACCCATTAGGATGGCTATTATTGAAAGAAAGAAAGAAAGAAAGAAAGAAAGAAAGAAAGAAAGAAAGAAAGAAAGAAAGAAAGAGAAAGAAAGAAAGAAAGAAAGAAAAGAAAGAAAGAAACAAGTGTTAGCAAGGACGTGGAGAAATTGTGCACTGTTGGAAGGATTGTAAAATGGTGCAACTGCTAGGGTAAATAGTACAGAGTTTCTTCCAAAAATTAAAAACAGAACTACCACCTGATCTAGCAATCCCACTTGTGGGTATATATATCCAAAAGAATTGAAAGCAAGATCTCAAAGAGATATTTGCATACTTATGTTCATAGCAGCACTATTCAAAATAACCAAGAGGTGGAAGCACCCAATGTCCATCCACCAATGATGTATAAACAGAATGGGGCAGATATATACAATGGACTATTATTCAGCCTAAAAATGGAAGGAAATCCTGTCACATATTACAACATGGATGAACCGTGAGGACATTATGCTAAGTGAAACAAGCCAGTCACAAAAAGACAAGTATCGCATGCTTCCACTTCTAGGAGGTATCTAAAGTAGTCAAATTCATAGAAACAGAAAATAGAAGAGTGGTTACCAGGGGCTGGAGAGATGGGGTAAGAGGGAGTTGTTTTATGGGTTGTACAAGATGAAAAGATTCTAGAGATCTGTTTCACAACTCAACACTACCAAAGTGCACATTCAGAAGTGGTTAAGATGGTAAATTTTATGTTATGTGTTTTTTACTACACACACAAAAGAATTTTAAGTATCCATTCTAGTAATCAGGGCCTCTTAAGAACACTGCCTCCTCCCTTGGTCTTGCTTAGAGAAAGGTTTAAGTCTAACAGGTAGGTGTCCTCTCACATTCTGGGCGACTGGAGTCCCCTTGTTTTTATAAAAAGGAATAAACAAGATTACATCTGAGGAACTCCTGGAAAACCCCTATCAATAAGGCAGAACTTAGTGGGGAATCACACTACTGCTCCCTTGACTTCTGCTGAGCTAGTTCATCCTTTCTTCACCTCCAGCTGCTGAGGGGCTTTGCAGAGCTTTTAAGGAGGTGCCTGGTATTTCCTAGACCCTATACTCTGGTCCTATGAGGTGGGTGGGATGGTTTAACTAAATCCACAGCTGGACCGCCTCACGTGAACCCAGGAAGATCACCCGGGCAGCGGGCCTACAGAGCAATGCTGGATCCACCAGGGGGCATCAGGCACCATACTGTGCCATGTCCAGTACTTGGCCCAGTCCCCAGCCACCTACTCATGCTAAGCAAGGGTCCACTGGCCGGCCTGCCTCTGCTCTCCACAGGGGTTAGGCCTGGGGGGAAGGCCTAGGTGTCCTCTGGCAGAGGCTGGTTTGTTTATAAGCCATATTGACTCTCCCAGAGTAAATGCCCGTCAAGCATGCCAAAGAGGGCATCACAAGCAAGAAAACAACAGCTAAGTTCTCTGGGACTTGTCTTTTTGGTCCCCATTCCTCACACTCTGAGTCCATGAGTCCTCGCAGTCCTTCCTCCCAATCCTCTTCTAAATCCAAGAGGTTTTTCTGGAGGGCCAGGAGGGTGCTGGCTAAGAAAGGCTATACCTAACCCACAGCTGACTGCTTGGGGGCCTGAGTGGAGGCTCAAAGGATGAGTGACCAGATAAACAGTGCTCAGTGCACTACCACATTCCCCTGGGACTGGCCTCTGGACACAGGTTCCTCCCTGACCTGGGCACATTCTGGCAGCTTGGAAGGCTTATGGATGCCCAGCTCCCATTTCTTGGACCTCCTTGCCTCTATTTCAACAAATCCTTAGAAGTCAGGTCCTTCACCTGTGACCCTAAACTCGGGAACCTCCCTTTCTGACTCCCACATCTGGACAACACACGCTCCCTCTCTCCCATTTCACCTTGCTAACTCCCTAGATGGCTCTGGCCCTGCCCAGCTGTAGATACTGGCAGGCCAATCCCCAGCCATGAGCATCCCCCTGCCAGGTTTTGCAGCTCTCCTTCCCATAAAGCTGAAAACCAGCATGACTATGCATACCTAACTGCCAGGCAAATCTCCCAGTGCCCATTCCCCATAGGAATGGGGCCAAAACGCCCTCACTTTCTTTCCTCAGGTCCCCACCCCATTCCTGCCACCCTCATCACTGACAGAGGACTGGCTTCCCACATCTTGTCAAACAAGCCTCTCAGGCAAACTACCTTGGCTTCCCTGCCTTCCATGGTTCCCCCACTGTCCTCCCTGCCCTATCTTGGAGGCAGGCCCCACCACCTCATCTAGAATCCTGCCCCTCCAAGTCCAGGCCCTACCCACCCCACACTGAATTGCTGAATCTTCAGGCCTCCCCTCACTGCTAAGTGCTTTCTCTTATGTTGCAAACATGCAAGTCACCTAGGAACAACTCCCTTCACCCAGTTTCCTTCATCTCCCCTATGCGTGTACTCTTATCTTCCCTTCACCTCTTGAATTCCTGAGGGATAGTGGGCAGCTCTGTTTCTACTTCCTCATTTGCTGCTCACTCCACAATCCATTGCCCCCACAAGTGTTTGCATCTCTGTGCCATGGCTGTCCTCCAATCATCTGATTTTCAAATCAAACACCTTTTTGGTCTTTTTGCAATTGGATTTCTGTGCATCATCTGTTACACTTGATAGACTTTAACTTTTGCCTTCCCTGACACACATTCTTCTTAATTTGCCTATTTCTCTCACTCTTTTACTTTTTTTAAATTTTATTTTAAGTAGGTTCCACACCCAATGTAGGGCTTGAACTCACAACCCCAAGATCAAGACTGAGCCAGCCACATGCCCCACTCTTTTACTTTTCTATCATAAATTACTTACCTGTCCCCCCACATACAAACACCCAGTAGATTAGGGTATATTCTTCCCCAAGTTTCCTCTTAAGCTCTCCCTTCTCTCTATACCAGTGGCTTTCTTTTTAATTAAAGTTTTTATTTTTGAGATAATTGGAGGTTCACATGCAGTTGTAAGAATGTGAGCTCCTAGGGGCACCTGGCTGGCTCAGCTGGTTAAGCGTCCAACTCTTGATCTCAGCTCAGGTCTTGATCTGAGGGTCGTGAGTTCAAGCCCCACATCAGGCCCTATATATGGGTGTAGAGCCTACCTAAAAAAAAAAAAAAGAGCTCTTAAGTACTGTTTACCCACTTCCCCAAAGGTAACATATTACAAAACTAGTATAATATCACAACCAGGATCCTGACACTGATACAGTTAAGTCACAGAACAGTCCCATCACCACCAGGACTCCTTGTGCTGCCCTGTTGTAGCCACAGTCCCCATCCCACCACCAGTGCCTTTTAAAGATAGAAATATATGAAGCACTTGAGTAGCTTCTTCTTCAACTTCTCACATACACCAGGGAGACATATCAGGATTGGGGATGGGGGGAAGCTCTCCAGATAATTCTGTTATATGCCCAGCTGAGAAACACTGCTCACACCTCCACACTATCCAACATCAGCTACTTCTGTAATGCTGTTTTTCCTAGAAAATGCTTTTTAAACCTGGGTCTAAAGTCCTACCAATCTCCAGAGCAGCCAGGACGTAGGCAACCCACTAGCTACTACCACCAGAAAATCCTGTGGCTCCCAAAACCAACCCCACCCAGCTTCCCTGGTCCTTTTCCTCCTCTTCCTAACCTTGGGTTCATTCATTCATGCACTGAATGTCTATTAATTCCTACAGAGGCCAGGGCGGTGATCTGACATGACACTCATCTAACCACGCAGCCCAGGGATCCCACAATGCCTCTGTGCTGCCCAGGTTCCTGGCCCCGAAGGGCCCAGAGAACTCACAAGTGTCATGTTTGTCTCCCGCTGCCTTCAGGGAGTGCCTGTGAAATGAGTGCCCATTCTGCCCCCCACTGATTCTTGACCACTCCCACCACAGATAAGGAGGTTGCTCTGGTGGAAAGCCTTCTGGGAAAATCAGGAGCCTCTTACCTCACAGTATACAATGTCCGCTCCATAGTCCAGGGCCAGCAGCCGCATGGGGAGAGTGCCTACCCGAACCATAGGGGCTAAGATGAGTTTGTTGTGGTAGCACAATGAGAGGGTGTGCTCAATCATTCTTCCTCTGCTAAAGCCTGCAGAAAAGGAAAACAAGAGTAAGAAATCCAAATAAAGAAAATCTCTTCTGTTATCCAGGGCAGGCTTTTCTTCTTCTTCCCAGCACACAGGACTCTTTCCCTTTTCTCTGATCATAAAAATCACTCATGCTTATTTATTCACCTAAAGAATATTTATTAGTGCCTAGTCTGGGCCAGTCACTGTCCTAGTCTTTTGGGATATAATAGAGAACAAAACAGACAAAAATTCCTGCTCTGATAGAGCTTTTATTCTAGTAGGGGAACAAAGGCAAAAAAAAAAATACATAACAAATACATTATATAGTATGTTGGAAAACTGGTAATGCTACAGAGTAAAAAACAGCAGGGATAAAGGAAATTGAAAACACTGGGGCTGGGTTAAAATTTTTTTCCATTTTATTGAGATGTGATTGACATATAATGTTGTATTAACTTAAGGTGTACAACATAGTGATATGATACACGTATATACTAGAAAATGATTCCCACAATCAGTTAACATCTATCACCTCACATATTAATAAATTTTTTTCTTGTGATGAGAAGTTTTAAGATCTACTCTTAGCAGGGTGCCTGGGTGGCCCCGGGCTCTGCACTCAGCTCGTAAAGTCTGTCTGGGATTCTTTCCCCCTCTGCTCCTCCCCATGCTCTCACTTTCTCTCTCTCTCTAAAATAAATAAATAAATAAATAAATAAATAAATAAATAAATAAAAAATATATATCTTAAAAAATATATATCCACTCTAGGGGCACCTGGGTGGCTCAGTCGATTAAGTGTCTGCCTTCGGCTCAGGTTATGATCCCAGAGTCCTGGG